CCATAGAGAAAATTACATCTGCTTTTGTGAGGACAATTTCTATTTTAATGGGAAGAAATGCTTCATTTTCTATGGCAGCATAAAAGCAACCATAAAGTCTCGGTGATGTGGCATCAAGCTCCAAGGCAGGCAGTGACTCTTGGCACACGTGCCAGAGGCTCTGCTTACTGACTCCCATTCCCAAATAACAACAAATGTGGAGGGAAAACACAGGGAGAAGAAAATTGAAAAGTGACAGATGAAGATACACAGAGACGGTCAAGCAGTTGAGCACTTAGCCCACACCGACAGTAACTGCCGCTCTAACTCAGCTCTTGGGTTTATTTAACAAATATCCCCACGGAACCCTCCTGGTCCTGTCCTACCGCACACACGCACCCAAACCCAGAGATTCCAGATTTGGATTGTACCTTTGAAGACATAGTGCTGGAAATCAGACTTGGAAATGGCCCCTCTCTTGTGAATTTGATAAAGCTTTCAGCAAAACTGTCTACAGTGAGTTAAAATCTAACTTCACATTCAGTGTTTCCATTTGCCTGAAAGATCGCAAAGTTTTTTTTTTTTTTCCTTGCATTACCTTTTCCAGGAAAGGAAATTAAATGTTCCAAAAGAAGATTCCTACAGTGAAAGGCAGCAGCAGAACAAGGTACCCTAAAACACAGCAGTTTGGCATAAGAATCCACGTGACACAGGCAGATGAAAAAAATGCTGATACCTAAGAATCCACGTGACTCAAGGGAAATAAGAAGACGAAGATGCTGGCTGGAGAGACTGCTAAGAACCTTAGGAGCATTTGTTATTCTCCCAGAGGATTTGAGTCTGGATCCTGCTACCCATGTGGGTGTTTCCCTGTAACCTAGAACTCCGGTTCCAAGGACCAGATAGTGTCTTCTGTTCTTTATGGGTATCTACACACACACACACACACACACACACACACACACACACACACACACACATGCACACACATACACGTGCACACACATACATGCGCATGCGTGGGTGCACACACAGAAACGCACACTCCAAAGTGAGTTTTAGAAAGCAGATACAAGAAAATCTCGATGTGCTCCCCATCTGCCCAGAAGAACAGGATTCATTTCTACGAGGAGAGACAACTTCTGTTAATCCAGGGGTAACAATGTTGGAACTTACCTAAGCAGCCCTTCCCCTTGACCTAGAGTCCCCCACATACCTACCATCCCATAACTTGCCATCCCTAGAAGCTCCAAGTCTTCTCTCTTTGTCTCATCACCTCTCCAAAAACAAAACAAACAAACAAACAAAACCCCCTCTGGTAAGATGCTATTGGTGCCACAGAAGCCTACATTTCAACATCCACTCATTCAGATCCCCCTATTTGTGACTATTCCCCCATGAATGTGCGGCGGATGTGTTCAGGAACCAGTCTTTGCTTTTCTCATGATAGCCTCTCTGCTGTCAGCTAAGATAACAGGGTCTCAGCCTGTAAACCCAAGGGATAGTAAAAGGAAAATGGGTTTGTCTTCACCCTCTAACAGGGGCACTAGAGAGACACAGAGCAGAGGTCCAATGTGTGATACTGATAAACTCACACACCTGCAGTCCAAGGGCTTAATGATCCCCAAACCAACAACCACTCCACAGTGTGGGGGCTGTGAGGAGGAGGTTGGAGCCTGCATCCAGATGGGTCCCCTTTCCTCAGTTGGTTCTTTATTAGATTAATTATATAATGACCAGAGCTTCTTTACTGTATCCTTCCATTCTTGTAAGAAGGCCTTCCTGCCATTCCCGAATCCTTGAGAGTGAACACACAGCTCAGACGCTGCTGCATCCTTACACCTGCCACTGAACCCAGAAGCTCATAGGAAGCTCTAGGGCCCTCCATGGCTGTATTCACAGTGCTATGGCATTTTCTTCTGGTTCGGGCAGATGCTGTTCTGTTCCAAAAGACATTTTTGCCCATGTATTTCTTCACCTCCAGAGAACTGTTACCATGAAAGTGGCCAGTGGATGCTTCCTTGTGCCAGCATTGTGCAGAGGAAAATGTTACTTAAAAAAATTTAAGCTCAGGCCGGGCAATGGTGGCGCACGCCTTTAATCCCAGCACTCGGGAGGCAGAGGCAGGCGGATCTCTGTGAGTTTGAGACCAGCCTGGTCTACAGAGCTAATGCCAGGACAGGCTCCAAAACCACAGAGAAACCCTGTCTCGAAAAACCAAAAAAAAAAAAAAAAAAAAATTAAGCTCACTTTACTCAATAGCAGACATTGGCTTAGGAGCTGTGGGTCATGACCATTGACTTCTAGAACCTACTGCGTGGAGCTAGATCTAATTCCACAGAGGAAGTTTAAGCCTTTCCATCACTGATGGATTTTAATTGCCTATTTGACGAACAGGTTTAACTGATTGGAGCATTTGCCAACCCATCACACACGTTCACAGTTCTCAACTCCTATGCACACCATTTGAGGCTCTAACGGAAGCCAGTGACAAGCGAGTGATGAACTTGACATTGGATTCTACAAATGATCCCCAACTTCTATTCTGAGGAGAGCAAATATCTCCTGCCCCTTCTCACCACTGCTAGACAAGTAGTTAAACTCTCTGACTTTTTCATAGTCAATATTTCACAACCAAGTATCAACCATTCATCACTTCACAAGGAGTAGATGCTGGGTGATTCATGGCTTCCTCCTCGCAGCTGATTTATCCACACACCAGAGTCACAGTGTTTACCTAAGGAAGATTCAAGGCAGTATAGATCATAGACATGTTAGCTAGTGTCCGGCCAAACAAGTTTATGCAGGGGATCTATCAGTACTCTTGTTAGAATCAATTTAGAAATGTCTTCATCTTCTTCGGTGTCGGATTTCATCGATAAAGGACTCGGTTGCTCATCTCTCTGTTTTTCCTACTAACAATATGTCTTTACTCCAGGGTTTTCTGCTCTGGGATCGATTCTCTTCCTTTGTTTTTGCAGCACTGAGAATCAAATCAAGAATGTGTGAGTGTGCTAGGCAAGAGGGCTAGCACTGGGCTGTAGCCTCAGGTTTTGGAACTGATTTTAGGCACTGTTCCTCCTATATATTTCCCCCCAGTAGCGCGCCTCTCCAGGTGCTCTTCAATAAAGGTGATAAGTGAGTCCGATGAACACAGCACCATGAATACATGTCCACAGAGTATCGTCAACATTGCATTACCGAATCTCAGCTTAGCACGCATGTCTGTGAGCCTGAATATGATACCAGCATAAAGGCCCAGGAAGTAGTCGGGAAAGTATCAGGACTTAAGAGCGCTCTCTCGCTCTCTCTCTCTCTCTCTCTCTCTCTCTCTCTCTCTCTCTCTCTCTCTGTCACACAACACACCCCTCCCCTAGAAGACAGCCCTCTGAGGATAGAAACCATGCTTTATTTATCTTTCTAATCTAGTGCTTGTAACAGTGCCTGGGACATAAATAAATGTTGTTAAATAAACATGAGTTGAATTTTCCTAGGGCTAGTAGTAAAATCCCTTTTGGTTATTTTCATGGATTACTTATTTAGAGATAAAAGTCTTTTAAACTTACCAACCAACTGACATGCTACAAATTCTGTAGGAACAAATTACCTTTACCTCTTGTGTAGAAAGGAAAAGGGAGAGGAAGAAAATATATTATTTATCCAGTGTTTCCCATTCAGCCCTCTAGAGCAAAGGGGCAGAAACCGGACCTCAGGGCTGACAGTATTCCCTAGGATCTTTGGCTTATGTTGCTTGCTGGAGTATCTCATGTTCCCTCTTCATGGAGTAAAGTTTCTTCAGTATAATGTGCCTTCAACTAAGAAGGAGTGCAAATTCTATGAACTCCAAACTGGACTCTAGCTTCTTCCTTGCTTTTCATTCTGTATCTCCTGGCTTTGTTAGTCTGTCACCATTCAAAGGCTGACAGGGGAGAGCATGCTTTAATGCCTGAGAGTGGCTATCAAGGACACCCAGCCTTTGGGCAGCCAAATAAAAGGCTTCTTCCTCTAGGCTCCATTTCCCTCTCTGTAAAAAAGCAGAGCATAAGATTTCACAAGAGCACCAGGCTATTGTGAGGGCTAATTAGACTTAGCGGAGGCAGACTGATCAGGTGGTATTCAAAGTGCCGTTTGAATTCCTCAAATATAATATTGGTTTAAATTAATTAAATTAATATGGAAGTGGAATCTTCAGCACTCATCTTCCCACATTACAAAAAAGAAAACCCCAGATTTTCTGATCAAAATCCTGTCCTAAGCATAATTTAAAAAAGTAAGACAGAGATCTATGAATTATTAGCCATTTTTGAGGTAACATAGTACACGGCTCAAGTCCTTCAGTTTTCTTTAATCTTCTTTTCCACGATGCATTATGAATTGGAAGGCTAATTTTGCGCAGTAACATAAAGAAGCAGAATTTGAACCAATATTAATCGATTTTCTTGGTTTCACATAGAACATTCTTGAAGTCCTTTAAGTTGTCTCTTCAAAGAATCATTTATCAAATATGGTTGAAATAACTTCATGGCATTTCTGGGCAGTTCCACTTAGCACTGTGTTCAAGAAGTTGTCAGTTAAAGACCTTTGTATTGCTCCCCCCCACCCAAAACAGTCAATAGATATTTAAGGTTAAGGCTGAAGGGAGGGAGGGCATCTAAATATTAATACATTTTATTTATTAATTTTATAATACTTTTAATTAAGTTAAAATTTTTCATTAGTAGCTGCAGGTGACACCTAAAAGACATGTGGGTTAAATAAGACACGCTTTGAAAAGGAAGCACTGTTTTCAAAGATGGGTTGGGTGATCTTGGGAAGTTGGGTACATCTGTTAGGTGAAAGACGCTACCCAGAGCGTTTCTGGCGAATGAACAGTTTTAACTAAAAGGAACCCTGTCAGTGTTTCCTTGCTGGTTTATTCCAGGCTAGTCTGGGGATCCATGGGACACTGCTTCTCTAAACTAAACCAAACGTCCTCAGCAATAAAAGATAACAGATATTCCCAACTTAACTTGCGTACTCACCAAGCAAACTTCTGGTTATTCATTCGGTTTCCCCGGACCCTGGAAACTGGGGATGGATGGACCCTGTCAACAGATAAAAGGAAGCCAGGGGTTGAGAAAACATAATTTTGACCACACATGGGAAGGCAGAAAGAATCTGCTCCATCAATAAACAAATGAAGTTCATTTGTTCTCTCTTGTGAACTTGACTGTCTCTTAGTAAACAGATGCAATTAAATTCCTCTGCTCCCAACCCAAAGGCTTCTTTCTTTATCTCTCCCAAGGTGGCAAGGCATCTGTGTCAACTGTAAAGGTCCCGAGTGAAGTACCACTGGTTTCAATGAACAGATGCACTCCTTCTGCAGAAGACACAGTTACTGAGGATGCAATCCCGGCCTGGGGGTAAGAGTGAGTAAAACAGCATGGAGGCCATGATACCTGCCCTCACAGAGCCCTCTTATGTCTGTTGCCATAGAAACTGCACAAAGAGACAGTTAAATGACCACACTTTCGGTCAATTTCTAAATGTTAAAGTCAAGAAGACAGCAGGACCTCTTCCACGTGGCCAGAAACGGGCTGTGTGTAAACAGCGCAGGACGGAGGGGTGAATGGTCATTTGCAGAAGACAGGCTTTCTAATATTGATGCTCTCTGGCTGAGTTGAGGAAGGAGTGACTTCAGGAACTATAGCAGGTAAAAGAAGTAAATAGGTAGCTTCCCAAGCTTCCTAGGTTGGCGTCAGGCAGGGTTTGAATTTAAAGCCTTCCAGGTGCTGCTGGTATCCTCCAACTGGGGCCGGTGGCTGGACACCCTCCGCTTTGAGAGTTACCAACTGGCCAAGGAAGCTGTTTGGCTACTTCAGCAGCCCAGCGGCTCACTTCTTGCTTTTGGACTGAGTCCTGATCTAGCCATTCTTTGAGTTCGAATCGTCATCACTCTTCACACATTGCTTTGATTCACAGGGAGGGAGGAAAGGAGAGGGGGAGGAAGGACGAAGGAAGGAAACAAAATTATCTTAATTAGTTCTAAGGCCCTGTTAAAACCAGCAGCCCAAGGTCCATCTGCACCCCAGCCCCTCACTGCTACTCAGTGAAAAAAAATCACATCAAAACAGATAGGGCAGGGCCAGCCGTTTTGGGGGTGGAGGCGGGAGCGCCATCTTTCCCAGAACCTGAGTTGGGTGGCACTTTGTAGCTGATTTCCTCTACCACCCCTTATTAGCATTCTTTTTCTCACAGCCTTCTCAGCGGTGGCTGCAGCTGAGTTGCTCAGCACAGATTTTCCGCTCTGCATGGGGGGAGGGGGCGATAATTATGCAGAAAGATGGAAGGAGGCCAGGCAGCCCCTCTGCTGAACCGCCTCATTCAAGCGCGGCCCACTTCCTGCTGTTCTGCAGCTACAAGGATCACCTGTTGGTCTTGGCATCTGTCCAAGCTGGGCCCTGGCGGAAATGACAGTGTCAGCTAGAAATGAAAGCCAGCTCATATTCCAGCACCTCAAGATACATACTTATCTCTCTCATAGATGCTTATACATATCAGACACACACACATACATAAGACTTACACAAAAGGAAACAAAACTCATTTCCCCCTGCCTTCTTCAAACAGAATCCTCAAGATGAACATTTGAGTCAAAAAAAAATTTACTCCCTAGATGACCAGATAAGGCCACAGACCAAAGGGAAGCTGCAGGAGACCACCAGGAACTCAACCCAGCTCCTTTCTGAGGCACTGGTCCTCAGAGTTAAGTACATTTCCAGAAGTCGTTTGTTCCAAGGATTCCCTCTCTACAGCACGCCAAGTCCTCTAAAAGCTTAACCCCTTTACTGCGCCCTGCTTAAGCATAACCGTACCCGGGATTTGTGTCTTCCACATGATCAACTCTAGCCGCTCCTATAGCAGCTGAAGTTGAAGGATCACAGTGTCTTATCACCGCCCATTTCACACCCCAAGTGCACACAGGCGAGGGGCACTGGGCTTCATCATTCCCTAATCGCAAAACATTCTAGATAGTGGTGTCTTTGAGAAAAAAAAAATCGGTGAGCCTAGATGAAAAAAAAAAAACCTTCTCAATACATGGTTCCCATCTCATGGTTTATTAAATTTAGGGGGAAAATCCAAAAACAAAAAAGTTCTGATAATCTATGTGAGCAAATAACAGGAACAGTACTTAAACTCAACCTAGGAGTTGAGAAATATTTTCTTCCTCTGAGGGTTAAACTTAACTTCGCCCCAAAATGCAGACAACGGTTACATGCCAGCTATCATTTAAATTTTTATTTCTTCAAAAGGCTATGCCGCGTTCCGGGGAGTTCCAGTTTTAAATGGCAGCGCCTCTGCCGGCTACCAGCCTCTTTCCACATATAGCAGCCAGGCAGGTAGCAGAGGCAAACACCCAGTAGTATAAACTCCTGTCTCATCTGCATGTCATGCATTATTCATGACCCTCTGATTTCTGCACCTGCATCTCGGCAGGAAGCTTGCTGGGCACATTCATTATTCTTCGCGCAGCCTCATGCAGGCTCCATTACTCCTGAGCCACTTTGTTCGGTAACTAAGGGTTCCAGGCCTTGGTGCTAACTGCTGGATGTGAGGAGAAAAGGACGCACCAGGCTGAAGCGAAGGATGATCTTGATGTTGTGTAACACAGCGGATCAGACAAGGTTCTCTACAGAGACTGATTGCTATGTGGGCTATTGCGGCTCACGCGGGGTGATTTACACCGCGCGCGCGGTAGAGACGGAAGTCGCACCACCGAGGCCCTGTGCACCAATTGTTCTATTTATACATACTGACTCATGTGGGACGGCAGCCTGTTTATAATTTCACTTTTCTTTAAAAAAAATTCCTGCTACGTTTGAAACTTTTTGATATCTTATCATAAAGACGACACTTTCTTCTTCGGGTGCAAGTTCTGAACCTGCTTCCCAGATCCTGTGTTATAATGACTATTGGAGTTAAGAAACTACAACAGTCTGCTTTTGAGTGTCTCCAGGGAGTTACGCCAATGACTGGCAGGAAGATGTGGGATGTGAAGTCTGGGTCCTGGACACACATTCTGAACCACGGAGGAGTTTTTGCCACTGTTCCACCCACCTACTAGGCACAGAAAGTGATGAAGCCAGGCAGGGTGCAAACTGTATAACCAGCTTCCATGGGGTTAGACCACAGCGCTGCAAGCTAATCACTGGGCCATCTAAGGCAAGTCACAGCATCGATCCATATCTCAGTATCCTCAGCTACGGAAGGGACATGGTACTGATATGGAAACCACACTCAGGACCACAGTCTGGAGAGTGTAAGGGGGCTGAAACAGTCCCACTGTCCAGTCACATCAGAGCCACCCTAGGGTCACATGGCCCTATGATACTGGTGTCAGCAAACACTGTGTTGTCATCGGCATCAACATATATCTCATACAACCATGTACAGTGCGCAGCATCCGACAGCAATGCGCACTGACCGTCACACTGTTACAGTTACTTTAGAGGAGACTACCCCTGCTTGTGCTGTAAAACAAACCAAAAATCAACATGTTCTCATCAGTACTGCGGATTGAAACCAGGACCTTGTACATGCTAGCCACATACTCTACCACTGAGATATATACCCAGCTCCACTCTGACACACGTCACCATGCATCCGACATCTCATTCACCAGGTCCCCTGGTGCAGATATCCATACCATCCTTGTTTTCAGATCTGGGGGTCGAGTTGCAATCTTCAAATCCCAGTGTCTGAATTTGTCCATCTGCACTTGGCCACTTTCTTGACTCAGTGATGGTGACCATCTTCTAAACTTTTCTCTTTCTCCCATGCCCCCCCGTTTGCCAGCCTGAACCACTAGTGTGCCTGGGGGCCTCCTTCCTATGTTCTCCTCTCTCCCTCGTAGATGCTTATTCTGTTATTAGTTGAACATGTTTCCATCATGGCTACGATCACCATCTCACCACCTACACAGGGACTGGATCAGGTAGGCCTTGTGGGTTACACTCCACCAATCGGTCACTCTTTTACCATGCCATTCTGACCAATCGCATTTCCAAGGAGGTGTCCATGTGGCGGGAAACCCAAGCATAAAAGTGGGCAATTGCCCTAGACTCTATAAGCCTAGCTTTCTGAAGACTCCCCTGGTGCAGAAGTCTTAGATCACATCAGTATACCACGCTTTCTTCTGGCTAACTTATGTTTTGTTATATGAATTCCATCCAGTCCACAAATGCTCTCGAAAAGGGATACCTACCCCAACCACCCCAACCACCCCAGCCACCATCAGGCCTCCATCAGACAGGGTTTCCCAATCCTACTGTTTCCCTGAGGGGACAGAAGGAAGGGGTCACCTCAAGAAATGGCAGCGTGACTAACAAGGCTGCCCTATAAAAGAGAACTTGCTTCCTACTGACAAAACAGGATAAGCTCTACACACCGAGGAAATCTGAAAACAAAATACAACAAAACAAAATCCAACCAACCAAGTAAATTGATGGAGGAGGTCATCTTTCTATCTGTTGTTTCACTGGTTAATTAATAAAAAAAAAAACTGCTTGGCCCTAATGGGACAGAAAACTAGGTAGGCGGAGTAGACAGAACAGAATGCTGAGAGAAAGAAGCTGAGTCAAGGAGTCGCCATGATTCTCCCACCCGACACGGACACAGGTTAAGATCTTCCCTGGTAAGCCACCTCATGGTGTTACACAGAATATTAGAAATGGGTTCTAGCCAATAAGAGGCTGGAACTAATGGGCCAAGCAGTGTTTAAAATAATACAGTTTCCATGTAATTATTCCAGGTAAAGCTAGCCGGGTGGCGGGATGCAGCCCCGCCGCTCCTATTACAACAGTAAATGAACGCACTGAATGTCCGGTTCATGTGCCCTGTATCAGAGACACTGCTTCCTATTGAGGACATCAGAATAAACTACTTCACAGAACAATAATATTTTTTGATAGGCAGCTACCCTATGTGTGTAATTAGATATTTGATAACTCTTAAAAACGATTAAATACTTATGCTTGCTATTCCATTTATTTTTTTCTATTATGTATCTGGACATACTTTCATTTACAAACTAAGCAAATGGTGC